TGATGTAAGTCATATTTTTTATTTTAATAATTTATTCTCTTTTCTTATAATCACGCACAGCACTTCAGAAAAGCGTAATAATGTACATTTCTTTTCATTTATTGAACTTTAGACACTTGAGTTGATAAAAAAATGTAAATTAATTTTATAATTATATTTCTATCATTGTACATAGATATACGTTATATAGGTTTCCAGAAATATGCTGTTTCTCACTTTTTAGCTCCAATATGTATTTTACAATATTTAGTGCATGCATGAGTTGTTTTCTGGGCCGAAAAGGGATTTTAGAGCTCTTCATCATATTTAACAGATAATATCAGGATAATTTTAGTTATTAGTATTAACATAATTTATGTAACTTATATTATTCAAACATTTTGTCTGTGAATTATCCTTAAATGAAAGCTAGATAAATTCTGTAGTTGGGTTTGTATGACACACACAGTCTCCATGAAAAAAATTGTTTTATTTTCAATCAGAATAGTGTGTTTACTAAATATGTTCTCATACCTTGCTCTGTTAATTGAATTTTAATCACACACAGCAGCAGCGGTGGATCCAGAACCTAATCTCCAGAGGGGCACTAGTAGATTGTTATTTTTTTTTTTTGTCTTCATTTCAGACGTTACCAGCCTCTTATATTCTTTCAAGCTTTCTGCATCTCAGGCATTGGCATATTAGTCATAATAAATGTTTTCTCTCCCCTCTTTTTCCTATTTATATGACTTTAATTTATATAAAACATTAATATTACTTATTAACAAAGAAAGAAAAAAAAAATAAAAAAAAAAAATAACATAAAGCAGACAAACAAACACAACATTCACACAGGATGATGAAACCCTCTTCCCCAGTCTCTCTGCATTGCTATTCATAATACTGATAAATGAGATAACATTTTTTTCTTTTCTTTCTTTTTCTTTTCTTCTTCCTTCCCTTTTCTTTTCTCCTCCTCTCCCCCTCCCCTTTTTTTGTACCCATTGCTGGGTAGACCCCATTCTTTCTGTCATCTCTTTAATATAATTAAGGTTGTTTTCCTTTATGATTATCCAATCCTTCATTCTCCATTCTGTTCTGGGTCTCTCAAACTGTACTTTTAGTTCTAATACAATTGGGTTATGATCGGACCACGTTGTGGTTGTTATAAAAATGTAGTTTTACCTGTTTCACTGAATTTCTATTCCCCAAAATTAAATCAATTCGGGAGTATGAACAAAAAGTTTTAGAGAAGCATGAAAAATATTTCTTTTACATGGAATATCCTCCAATAATCCAGCAAACCATTTTATTTGACTAATTCAGAAAAAAAAATTCCCGTTAGTTTTGACCTTCTTATAGTTATTGCCTTTTAATTTAGGACTCCTGTCCAAATCTGCGTCTAAGACGCAATTAAAGTCTCCCATAACAATGACACGACCAGTTTTAACGCAGTCACTTCTATTAAATATTTTTCTAATAAATGGAATTTGTGCCTGGTTTGGGGCGTATATATTAACTAATGTGTATTTTTGGTTATTAATTTCGCACACTAAAATGATGTATCGACCTTCTGTATCAATGTCTTGGTGAACAATTTTCAGAGAAACATTCTTCGAAAACAGAAAAGCTACCCCTCTTTTTTTTTTTGGCTTACAGAGGCATTAATTATAGTGGGAAATAACTTAGACTTAAGTTTTATTTTTTCTTCTAGTTTCCCATGTGTTTCCTGTACTGCCACTATATGTATTTGCTCCTTCCTCAAAAATTCAAGGATTGTATATCTTTTGAATTGTGAATTGGTTCCTTGTGCATTAATTGTTGCAAATCTCATATTATCTTCCTATTCTTATTTTTTTCCAAAGGGAGTCTAGGAGGTCCATCGTCATAACATACTAACATTTACATCCACGCATCTCTATACATTTTCTGCCTTTACTTAGGCATAGATCAATGTATCTCTCCTTCCTCCTATCTTTCTTCAACCCGGGTATCCCCTAGCCCCAGGGAGAAAGACCAAGTAATGACAGTACCCCCTCGAGTGTTGCATATAACCCCTTCTTTAAACTCACAGAATTGCCAACAATGTGTGAGCTAAAATATTCTCCTCGTCTGGAGAAATATATCTGTAAGAAGTGGAGAAGAAAAAAAAAATAATAATTTTACTGTAACAAGTAGCAATTAGATTAGTGCCAATATAGTGATTTACTACTGTGTTTTTCCCTTTCCTGTGCTTAGAATTCTGGAGAAAAAAAAATATAGATAAATAATATCTTTTAATTCCAGTTATTCTTTTTTAATCTAAATTTCTTCCCCTTCATCCCTTTATTCCTTTATCTTATCTGTGATATTTTGACCTCTTCTCTTTATCAAATATCCTTTTCTTTCCTTCCTGTGACAAATATCAACTACATTAGTGCCTATATATTAATTTGCCATTGTGTTTTTCAATTCCTGTGTTTAGGCCTCCCAAGAGGGAGAAGAAAAAAATAAATAAATGTCTTTTTTAAATTCAATTAATCTTTCTAAATCTATATTTCTTTCCCTTCATTCTTTTCTTCAACAATCATATCTATGAATTTTTCTTACTGTGTAGCGATTAGATTAGTACCTATATAGTGATTCACTACTATATTTTTCATTTCTTGTGCTTAGAATCCTCAAAAAAAAAAAAAAAAAATCCCTTCCTCTCATATATTATGTTCTTTTCTTGCATCCATTTTTTTAGTGTTTGCGGTTTCTCAAAGGTTAACCTCTGTTGTTTTTTCCTGTAGATTTCTGGGGCACCTCCTGGTAGGCGAACAGGAGGTGCGGCAGGAATCTTTCCCAATCCTTGTGAGTCACTACAAAGGACTGGAGCATTGGCCTCAACGTGCCATTGAAATGCTCGCACAGGCCATTGGTCTGAGGGTGGTAAAGGGAGCTTGGGATTTGTTTAATACCGCAAAACCTCCAAAGTGGGATGGTCATTTCGACAGTAAACTAGCATACAGGGACGGTGGCGGGGTGCTGTGGTGGAGAGAATGGCTTGGGGGGCTCTCTTACAGGGGTGTCTTTGAGAGGCTGGGGTGTAGGAACGGGGGTGGGTGCCTACCTGAGCCTCAGTGTGTGAGTCATACCGAAGGTTACAGGCCTGCTGCCAGGTCATCACAGGGTAAGCGTCTTTGAGGGTCTGGATGGAGACATAGGTGCCGAGCAGCACTTCTGCGGGTAGTCGATCCATGAGGCCCACTTCGACTCTCTGGGCTCCAGAGCCCCAATCTAGGTGAATATGGGCAGTAGGTAGGTAGTGAACATCTCTTCCGGCCACTTGGACGGCGATAGTACCTGCTGTCCTTTTGTCTTCTGGGATGAGCTGGGGTCGCACCAGAGATAGAATGGCTCCAGTGTCTCTGAGCCCCTGGATCTTGCGCCCATTCAGCCACACTGGCTGCCTGTGGTGGTCCCGGTTATCATGGGCAGCATGGATGGGGTTCACTTCATGCAGGATGCTCCAGGCTTCTTCGATGGGGTTCGGGACATCTGTGGTCATCTTGGTAGCAGAGGGCTGCTGCTTGCGGACCAATAGGGACTACGGGGGTGACCCACTGCGTTCGGCCCCTATTTTGGGTACAATTCAGTTTGAGGTGGCCGGGCTGGTTGCATTGGAAACATCCCCGGTCTGCCCTGGGGAATGTTCGCTGAGGGGGGACTGGCCCGGGAAGCCACGAAGGGGAGCTACAGTAGTGGGGTTAGGTTGTATTAGAGGTCAGATGGTGGGTCAGTAGCTGGGAGAGGGAGCAGGGCGTTGAGACCAGCGAGTATCTGCATACCTGTCAGCCTGTTTGACTGCTTCTGTCACGATTTTGGGCTGCCGGTCTCTAACCCATTCCTGGGTGAGAGACCGTTATAAAAGTGTTCAAACATAAATAACTGGAGAATCACTTCGGGGGACTTGGCTTGTTGCAAGGTGTAACGGATCACCTGGCACCCCGACTGGGTACCTCCGTTGAAGGATGCTCCTAGCGCTTCCTGAGGACTCCAAGCACTGCAGCAGACACCACAATCACCGCAGACTCCGCAACCGCTGTAGCTTGACTGGAGTTTCGCCGTCTTCCTTCCACCCTGGATCAGCTTCTGTCCTCCAGGACCGTGTGGGAAAGACCTCTTTCTTCCACCCAGTATGAACCTCCAGCATCCAGGACTGTGTGGTGAAGACCTCTCCTCCAAGGAGAGCGTGTCAGGAACAAGCTCTTAAAAGAGCTAAGTGATTCAAGCTCAGTGTGATTATAACAGCTCCCTCCAGGGGCGTACCTAGAGCATTTGGCACCCGGGGCGGATCCTGTGCTTGGCACCCCCCCCCACCCCAAAAAACCTGTACAAAATGTTAAAGGTCTTCTTTCTTTTTTTTTACAATTTGTAAACTTTGCAAAACCGCTGTCAGCCCCTCCTACAAAACCCTTGTCCTGCACCGCCCCTCCTACAAATCCTCTGTCCTGCCCCTTCTACAAATCCTGTACTGCCCCGTCTACAAAACCCCCGCAAACCCCTTCCACAAATCCCCTGCTTATCCCCCCTTATAAAGACTCCTGTCCCAATACAAAACCCCCGCCCCCTTCTACAAAATCCCTGCAGCCCCACACACACACATTTACAGGCAGTCACACACTCAGTTACAGACAGACAGTCACACACTCAGTTACAGGCAGACAGTCACAGGCAGACAGTCACACATACACATTTCCTCCGTGCGGCCAGTTTATCAGCTGTTTGCTTGTGTGAGCTGTACTGGCCGCACGGCACTTTAACTACCATGGGACACTGTGCGGCCACAGCTCACACAGCCCCTTCCAGCCAGGGCTGGTGCAAGGATTTTTGCCGCCCTAGGCAAAAGTAAAGTTTGCCGCCCCCCCATGTGACATCACAATGCCCCACCCATATGATTTGCCATGTTAACTAACGCCAGTGCTGCAGTGCCGCCGTGTTTACATTAAAAGGCCTGCAGGGACAGGCAATAGACACCAGAACCACTACATTAAGCTGAAGTGGTTCTGGGGACTATAGTGTTTCTTTAATGTGAGGTAAATTAGAGTTTAGTGCCACGAATAATATACTAGATTACCTACTTACAACCAGATGAGGATGATGATGGGCTCTAGCTGCAGTCTGGCTCCACTGGTCTGGTGCAGAACAGGCTCTCTGGAGGCGGATTGTAACTGTGGTCACAAAAATCAATGTTCTGGGAGAACGGGAAGCAGCTCCATTTTTTGGGGGTCCTTTACACAGCTCAAGGTCTGAGTCCCAGGATCCACCTTCATGTTCCACCAGGGGGTGGAGTGTGTAGGGGATGTCCTGATATGTGTGTAAGGAATGCATTGTGTGAAATTGTGTTTGTATGTGTAAGGGCTGCAAGGTGTGTTTCTGTGTATGTACGGGATGCATTGAATGTGTGTAAGGGGTGCATTGAGTGTGTGTAATGAATGCATTGTGTGTTTCTGTGTGTGTAAGGGATGCATCATGATGCAGGGCTCGGCCACGCTACAACTGAGGGAGTGACAGGAGGGAGCGCTGAGCGCTTCCCTCCTGTCAGCCCCTCTCCTCAGGCTGCGCCCGGGCGGTGCGGTCCGCCCTCATGGACGCACCGCCCAGGCAAAGCTGCAGCCGCCTGAAGCTCTCTACAGAGCGCTCGGGCGGCTGCAGCATGGGGGGGGCGGCGGGGCTGGTCAAGGCACCCCCCACCCCGGTGGCACCTGGGGCGGACCGCCCCCTCCGCCCCCCCTTAGTACGCCCCTGGCTCCCTCCAATAACGAGACAAAGCTACGTTTAGAGGGATCAAGAAGAACTGTCTAAACCTTTATTTCCCTTGGGACCAGCCCATAGGGTCACAACATTAACATTGCTGTGAAAACTCAATAAAATCACAAACAGTCAAACCATAGCAGGCAACACACAGTGACTTATCACAACACAATGGCACAATTTTAAAGGGGCGCATGAGACAAAATTTAACAGAAAATGTCTCACGTGTCTGCAGAATTAGCAATATTCAAATCTACCTGAATATTCAAATGAACCAGTCTTGCTATTCAGGTAGTGCATATTGCTGTTGCTACCAACAGAGGGCACTAGACAAGCTCCATAGCCAAACCCACCTAGTTGGTAGCAAACCTCAGCAGTACAGGAGAGCAGGCAATACATTACACAGTACACACACACACACACTATAAACAATTACATTACACACGCCCTGCACCTATAATGGGTACAGAGTGACTAAAACATAAGAGAAATAAAGCAACTTACATAAATAGTCTGTCTGAAGGTAGAATAGGGGCTTTAAATCCAAATACATCAAAGAGTCATAGTCACAGAGGAGGAGGCTAGCAAGCAGGCTTCTCCAGGACCAAGTGGCGAAGGGCACTTCGTCACACAAGGCCATCCAGTTCTGGGTGGTTTGGACAATGCGGCATGGGAGTCCTTCTTGCCCTTATTGGTGTCCCTGAATTTCCTGCGGTTAGCCTCCTGGGTCACTGCATACCGGGCTAGCAGATCCTTGATGACCTCGTGCTCCCAGATCTTGTCTGCGGGTACATCTCGGTAAGCCTCTGCCACCCTCCCCGTTAGGGTCCTGGCCAAGATAGTGACCCATTCTACGAAAGTCGTCTATGCCTTCTTCTGCCTCCTTGAACTCTTTGAAGGCGGCAAAGGGTAACTTGGGCTTTTGACCACACTCGGCTATATACTTTCCCCATGCAAGGGGTGGATCACACATAACAGCAATGTCCCCTCCCAGGGTCCAGCCCCTCACGGGGGTTGCACACAGAACTGGAACCCCAATCCCTTTGTCCCCTGTTCCCGACACTCCATGCCGATTCTCATAACAGAGGGGGTGAATACATACGCACATGCCAAGTTTCTGTTTTCTATTTCTAAAAAAGAGTTTTAAGTATATATTTTCCTCATTTCACTTCACCAACTTAGACTATTATGTTCTGATCCATCACATAAAATTCTGATTTATAAAACATTGAACTTGTAATGTAACAAAATAGATAAAAAGTCAAAGGGGGTGAATACTTTTGTATATGTTTGCTTCTGCTTGATGTCGCTTTTTGAAAGAGGAGGTGCTTAGGTCACTATACCTCATGTACACCCTTTTTACTTGTGATTGGTTCATTTGTGTGTTTTTATGTGTTTTTTTTTTTGCTGCTGTGGCGCTAGGAAATAAAGATTAAAGGGACACTATAGTCACCTGAACAACTTTAGCTTAATGAAGCAGTTTTAGGGTATAGAACATGCCCCTGCAGCCTCTGCCATTTAGGAGTTAAATCCCTTTGTTTATGAACCCTAGTCACACCTCCCTGCATGTGACTTGCACAGCCTTCCATAAACACTTCCTGTAAAGAGAGCCCTATTTAGGCTTTCTTTATTGCAAGTTCTGTTTAATTAAGATTTTCTTATCCCCTGCTATGTTAATAGCTTGCTAGACCCTGCAAGAGCCTCCTGTATGTGATTAAAGTACAATTTAGAGATTGAGATACAATTATTTAAGGTAAATTACATCTGTTTGAAAGTGAAACCATTTTTTTTTCATGCAGGCTCTGTCAATCATAGCCAGGGAAGGTGTGACTAGGGCTGCATAAACAGAAACAGAGTGATTTAACTCCTAAATGACAGTGAATTGAGCAGTGAAATTGCAGGGGAATGATTTATACACTAAAACTGCTTCATTTAGCTAAAGTAATTTAGGTGACTATAGTGTTCCTTTAATGCAAAATACTTGCCTCCTGTCATTACTAAAATGAAAATTATTAATACACTAAAGCTAGTATAATCTTCAATTTTACTCAAATACAGAGCCGGACTGGGAAGAAAATTCAACCCGTGCATTTTTTAATTACAGCAGCCAACTGAAAATGGGGCAGGGCCAGATAGGGTGTGTTTTGTTATCACAAAGCACACCCCATCACAAAGTAAGCATGTTGGTTCAATGCTCTTCCAGGGCAGAGAAGAGCTCTAGCATGAGGAGAAAAAGGCCCTGTATTTGTTCTGCACAGTGCAAGCAAATTTAATAACATGCTTGCACTATGTTTGCTTGATATTTGTCTCAGGTGTCTCCATAGATGGGATACCAGGGGACAAAAAAGACAGGAAAGAGTATTGTGTGTGTGTGAGGGTGATGTGTGTGTGTGTGTGTGTGTGTGTGTGAGAGGTGTAGTGTGTGTGCAAGAGAGATGCTGTGTGTGTGAGGGGTGTAGTGTGTGTGCATTAGGGGTGTAGTGTGTGCTGTGTGTGAGGGTGCAGTGAGTGTCAGGGGTGCAGTGTGTGTCTGTTAGGGTGATACGTATGTGTGTGTGAGGGGTGTAGTATGTGTGTGTGAGGGTGAAGTGTGTGAGGGTGCTGTGTGTGAGTTAAGGTGCTATGTGCATGTGAGGGTGCAGTGTGTGTGTGTGTATGTGAGTGATGGTGCTGTGAGTATCAGGGGTGCAGTGTGTGTGTGTGTAAGTGAGGGTGCTGGTGTGTGAATTTGTTTGGAGGGCTTGTGTGTTGCTGGGCAGATTATTATCTATATATTAATTAAAAAAAAAAAAAAGCATTGATTATTACCTTTAAAAAGAGGGGGATAAGGTGCTCGCTATAGTAATGGGTTAAAGCAGTAGTATTGGGCAGCAGTAACCAATACAAGGATCCCCAACCTTGTGGTAAGAATAGTGTAGGTAAATAGAGATAGGAAACCGCTCCCTAGACAGTGTAATACAGACAAAATTTTTACATACACAGGTGTTATTGCGATGATCTGAAACAATTGACCTCAAAATAAGAAAACATAAAAGAAATAATAGTGCAATATAGTAAGCATAATGGGTGGCTATATGAGTGCTTCAAAAATGGTCACACTCACATTTCCCAGAGCTAACTCAGCTGTTAGTATGCGTGGACGGAACAATCCACGTCTCAGGATATATGCAGCAATGCACATCTTGGCGGTCTCAGGCAGAATGAAGTGTGCAGATTATATGTGAAGAGACATAAAGAGAATCCAATAGTGCAATATATACTGGTAAAATGAATAAAAGAAATATAAAATAACGTATTCACATTTGCTAGAGCACAACCTGCTCCAGTCAGTATGGCATAGGTGGTATCATCCCCACCAAGGAGTATGATGGTAACCAGGAATAAGAAGGAGTTGAAATCCAAAGCGAATAGAAGTTAAAAAATATATATACCATTTATTGACAATAAATAAATAAAAACATATATAAAATCGCTCAAAAGTCCCACTTTGGGTAGAGTTGGAGAATAATTGATTATTTTTAATACAATCTTACTAGCTGTATAAACCTGCCCACAATTGCGTTTACTTACAGTTTATATTCTTCTGTGTATCTTGCTATATGAAAGATCTATTTCTATGCAACAAAACAAAGATGATGAGAAGTCTGATAACAGGCAAAAGTTCAGAGAAACCTCAATATCTTGAACTCTCAGGTTTCAAAAATGTTTTTGCTTGCTTGTGCCATTATAAAGAGAACCTGTACAATTTGCATATCATACTGATCTCGCCCATAAGTGAAATCCAAGATCCAAAATGCTGGCAGGTTACCTCTGCATTAGAGATACAATAATCCCGGACAATTGCTTCTGCTTTCTTTGGTCCTCATCAGTGAGGTGTAGCTGGTACTTCTCTAGGCACAGTGAGCACAGAGCCCAAGTCTTGATTACCCTTTCAACTTAAGGAATACCTAAGTAAATGCATTGCAATAAAAACAAAACATATGAGACGTCTAGGAATGGGCAAAAGCTCAGAGAAACTCAACAGCTTGCCCTTCAGTTAATTCCCTTCAGGCCTCAAAAAAGGTTTTCCCTTCTTATGCCATTAGAAAGAGAACCTATACTATTTGTATATCAGACTGATCCTGCCCACAAGGACTGTCCAGATCCAAAATGTTGGCAGGTTCTATTTCTTTATATCTGCTTAAATTATGTGGCCATTAAACGGATCCATTATAAATACCACCATTCTAAAATAATAATAAAATGTGCCAGAAGAAAAAGTAATCTAGATCCTAAACAAAGATGCTTTCAGTCATTCTGAGTATTTACATTCCCTTGCCAACTTAAAATGTCTTGACTGCACTGTGATTGGGTGACTTGCCAATGCCAAATAATGAACTCTTTATTGCTAAACCATCCATGCATTGGGCAGGCAAGTCTGAATTACTGTAAAGAAAATTTGGGGCACATTTTTTGTTCTATTATGATGTTTATTATATTATGATGTTTTGTTATGGTCACTTCATTTTGACTGGAGAAGGAAGATGGTAGGTAATTAACCAAAAGTAATGGTTAGGTAATAATTATTTAATTATTGGGTAGTGGAGTGAGAGGATGACATATTTGATGAAGTTGAAAGCTAAGTAAAAAATTGTGGACCCCTAGTCACTGGGAATATATATCTACTTCAAACAGAAGTTTGGCTGCACTTGCAGTCTTAGATTAATGTAGTCTCTTTATTCAAAATACATACAATCCAAAGATTAATGTTTCAGTCCTCTCTGGGACTTTCTTTAAGATCAGAATACTAAATAACAAAACATTACCAAAATATAAAACAAAGTAATAATTGAAAAAGTGACTTACCCCAGGTGAAGTGTGTTGCTATCGGCGTTTCTGTGTGTGAATTGTGCATGCCCATCTGTAACCTCGCCACTACCGTGGTGACGTGGTATGTGCGTGTCGACATCATACGCCGTCATTGCCTAGCATGAAAATCATTTGATACCGATGAAATACATAACTACATATAGGATAATATATATAATGAAGTTACAGCTATCCTTATGACTTTCAAATTTATACCAAAGTATGATATGCATGGTAATTATTTTAACTGTATTATAGCATAGCATTTTTGCATTTCAAGACAGCATATTTGGTTTAAATAACTACATTTCAGCCACCATATATTTGTCTATACAAAGTAAAACAAATATAATGACTCACACTAGACAGAATAAAAGGGTGGTGAAAACAAACACTTATCTCAGTAGATAGTGGTAACAGCTTCCTCCAGGGATATCACAGCTATTATCCCTTAAATACCAAGTAGATGCAAACAAAATGGAGGATACAGCTGTAGATCTACAACATAAAGAACAAATAATAATGTAACTCTGTACACAAATATGTAAGTGCGCTGTAATGAGTAAAACTCGCCCGATACAAATGGGGGGCCAAATCCACTCCTCTTTCTCTAATGATGATGGAACTGGACTCAGGATGGCAAAAAAATAACAATTCTGCTTTATTATAAAATTATATAAAATCACAATAAAAAGTGATGCTATACCAGGTCCTATGCGGTTCGTCCTATAAGGACTTCCTCAGGGACCTCCTGGTATTTAAAGCCACAAGAGTCTAATGATGGCAGCAAGTAAAATCAAATAATCAGAAAAAAGAACGTTATAATCTCTCCCCCCTGAGTCTCTCTTTCATATGGGCGATTTTTCTTCTCATTGGTGGTCCGGTGGGCGTTGTCTGGTTGTCCCAGTTGTACATAGTTGAATTTCCCGGTCCTCACTGATCACTTCCGTTTTTTGGCAGTTTAGGTGTGTCACTTCCGGTGCGCCAGTTCCGGTTGATGTCTTCTGATGTCGCGTTCGTTCCATTGCACGGTCATCTTGCGGTTTACCTGAATCTCATAGACAAAGTATTACTGATGGTAGCCTTTAGGGCTCAAACATCATAAAAAAAATGGAAGATAAAAAACTAAACTTTATCATGCTAAAACAGCAAAGAGGGCAAGAGAAATATTACACAGTTACATAGCTGAAAAGAGACTTGCGTCCATCAAGTTCAGCCTTCCTTACATTTGTTTTTTGCTATTGATCTAAAAGAAGGCAAAAAAAAAAAACTTTGAAGCACCCTCAGTTTGGCCACAAGCTAGGAAAAAAAATTCCTTCTTGACCCCAGAATGACAGTCAGATTTATCCTTGGATCAAGCAGTTATTACCCTACATTAAAAGATTATAGCCTTGAATATTCTGTTTTTGCAAGTATGCATCTAGTAGCTGTTTGAACATCTGTATGGACTCTGAAAAAAAACACTTCTTCAGGCAGAGAATTCCACATCCTTATTGTTCTTACAGTAAAAAAAAAACCTTTCCTTTGCCTTAGACGAAATATCTGTTAAGGTTTATCCCCATATGGAGAATTTGTATTATTTATCAAAGCACTCTATTGGTTTCATTCTACAATTATGTAAAAGTACTAAGGCACTTAAAGTGAAAAATTATTATTCAAAATTAATGAATCCTGTTTACACAACACAAAAGAAAAAAAGGGGTTTATAAGTTATGTGCACTTTAAAAATTGAAAAATATTAATGCACTTTAGATGTTAATGCACTTTAAAAGGATTTTTAAGCACTTTAGAAAAGCTAATGCACTTTAGCAACACAGTGCACTTATTCCACTTTACTATGCTAATTTACACTTTTACATTTTCTTTCCCTTTTTTATAGAAAGTCCCTATAAGTGTTCTATAAACTATATAGACGCTACACATAAGACACTATTGCGCGATTCACCCTTTGAATGTACACTTATTACACTGCATGTGGGGTCACAGCACAAAAGAGTACAGCACTAAAGGCATACATGGTAACCACGGAGATGTTTACCGCGTTGTCATGACAACAACGGTGCATGACATCATCACACATGTACCACGTCATTACGGTAGAGGCAGGGTTACACGCTGGCATGAGCAAATCACACACGGAAACACCAATAGCAACACACTTCACTTGGGGTAAGTCACTTTTTCAATTATTACGTTGCTATATATTTCGGTAATGTTTGTCTTTGTTATTTAGTATTCTGATCCTGAAGAAAGTCTCAGAGAGGATTGAAATGTTGATCTTTGAATTGTATGCATTTTGAATAAAGAGACAACATTTATCTAAGACTGTGAGTGCAGCCAAACTTCTGTTTTGTATGGATAAAAAGCCCAAAATGACTGGCATCTGGCAATTTAAAGAGAATTTCAGCCTGAGTACAATATATATATATATATATATATATATATATATATATATTTTTTTTTTTTAATTAGAGCCTGGAGGATTACCAATCTGTGGCCCAATGAATATTTAACCAGGGGACTAGGGCCCCCTTTTACACCTGTCATTGGCCTTAGACAACATTTGCCTAAACTCTCTATTTAAATTGCAACATTATCTATGCAAACAGTGACATAACTGTTTAACTGGTTTTGGCTACCAATAACTATTTCAACATGGTTTTCACAGAACTGTAACCACATGCCTCCCAACATTTCAAATGGGCCAAGATGGACACTTTAATTCTGGGTTGTGAGTGGAGGTGTGGCCAGTGGTCAGGTTGTTCTGGTAAATTTTAGTTGACTTACATATCACAATGTATGCAACTAGAATGCAATTTAGAGTGAGAGCACTATCATATTTTACAACACATTTATCGTAATTCAGAGATACAATACTGTGAATATTATTGTAGTGGAGCTTTGTTATACAATCAGACACAACAATAATATGAAGCTCATAAAAAAGGGACATTAGGATAGAAAATCGGGGCAGAAGGATATGTGCTCTAAATAGGGGCTGCCCTTCCTAAATAGGGACTTTTGGGACATATGTGATCATATGAAAAATAGCATATGCTGTATGTGTTGAGTTATTTATAGAATGTGACCTTGTGTTGTGTTAGTGAATAGCAGATAATATTTTTTAACTTATGAGCCTGATTTGCAAGCTATGTGTTTTTACAGGAAGCATACACTGAACCTTATGTGATCATCTGTGCACAAAACTTATCATTTCTTTGTATATACTATATTTATTTGTGCCATGACTGAAATTCAAAATATATAAATTGTGGTCTTGCTTTTTATAGACTGGCTGTATATTACCTTAATGCTGTATCAAAAGCATACAAGAATGCCAACATTGAATTCAAGAAGAAAATGCAGAGGGTAAGTTTAAATAGTCTAATTTTTAAGAAATAAAAAAAATGTCAGAGAGTCTACATTTATCTCTAATAATAATCAAAAATGTAGAGTGAGTGCACTTTATGGGATTCTCTTTCACTCCATATTTAGAGAAGTCGCTTTAATCAGTGCTGTGCCCAAAACAACAAATGGATATTGCCTCTTACACAAACACGTTTTAATCACTTTATTGATCCCTCTTCAATGTATATAGAATATATGTAGACATAATTATAAGATTCTGACACACGCGTAACATAAAGCAATACCTAAATGTAAATAGACAACTACAGATACATATGCACCTGAACATACATAGACACAAACACACAAGAAAGTCATCTAATAAACGCAGCTGTGGCAGGTTGAAAACAAGCTCACAAAATTTAGACCCAATGAGCTATGTTGGCAAAAAACGTAATATAATAAAATAATAAATATAAAAGTACAACTGTACTATTCTTGTGCTAATAGTCAGTAGGAGACTCAGTATAACACATGGATATTCCAGTTCAGCTACTTTAAATTTGAAATTCATGAGAATTCACTTTGAATTCCTGACAATTCTCACTTTAGCAAATTACTCTGATAAACATGTATAGATACACAAAACAATGTCACACGAATTGCAGAGCTGATTATGAATATAGCAAGAACTTTAGAGTTAGTCTTTAAGTGTTAATTCCAGTACTTTGCTCATTTCCCATAAATGAGTGCCAGTGCCCATGCTTATTATGTTTATTAGTTGATAATGAGACCACACTTTAGGTCAAACTATAATAAAGGAGTGTATTTTTTTATGCATGGTTCAGAACATATCTTCTCAAAATATTTATTATTTTAGTTTGACATTTTACATTGTTAAATTATTTTTGATGTAAATAAATATACTTGGTCAATTAATATTTTTATTGGCACAAAAAAAAAAAAGACACGTGAAGATGAAAAGAACAGAAGAAACAACACAGCCACCACAAATGAAATAATGAATGATTTGGAAGAGTTGCTCCCTCCCAGTGTAAGATTTGGGATAAAGAAGGAGGATAAAAACCCAGGTAATTTAATCTCAGGTATTACAATTGTGGTTTTTCATGTGATCATGATAACTATTGGGTATTTGCAAAATACAGGTGTTCAAAATTCTGGAGTCACTTAGAAATGTCCTTGTTATTAAAAGAAAAACTATTTTTTCCCCCATAAAAATAACATTTAATTGATCAGAAATACAGTTTAAACACTATTAATGTTGTAAATTGGGGGTTTTAATGGAATGTCTATAGAGGCATACAAAGGCCAATTATCAGCAACCATCTTTTCTGTGTTCCAATGGCACGTTGTGTTTGCTAATCCAAGTTTATACATTAAAAGTGCTAATGGAGAATTAGAAAATGCTTTTGCAATTATGGTAGCACAACAAAGCATTGCAATGTGATGATCTGAGGGTGTTTTGATGGTGGTAAAGCAGGAGATTTATATAGGGTAAAAAGGATCTTTAAGAAGGAAGGTTATCACTCTATTTTGCAGAGCCATGACACACCCTGTAGATGGCGCTTGATTGGAGCCAATTTGAGCCTTCTACAACAGAACTATGATTCAACATATCGCTAAAGAACTATTTAGGGTAGTAGCAGTCAGCAGAAATTCTGTCTTTAATTGAGTGGCCAGCACAGTCACTAGACCTCAACTTTATTGAGCTATTGTGGGAGCAGCTTGACAGTATGGTACATAAGAAGTGCCCATCAAGCCAATCTAACTTGTGGGAGGTGCTTCAGGAAGCATGTGGTGAAATCTCTTCAGATTACCTCAACAACTTGACAATTCAAATGCCAAATCTCTTCAAAACTATAATTGCTGCACATGGAAGATTCTTAGATGAAAACTAAGTTTGAATTTTTTTTCAGCTACCTGTTACTGTTTATTTTAGTTATTTCAATAAGCAAAGTTTAAAGAACACAATTATTTCACTTAAAACTCATTATTTCTAACCTTGTCAATGATTACATTTCCTATTAAAACTAATTTCATATATATTTTCATGGAAAATAAGGGTATTTTTAATTGATCACAAACCTTTGAATGCCAGTATAAGTTGTAGTAAAACTATCTATATTTTCCACCCCTTGTAACTGCTTAATATACATAGCCAAGGCTGTACATATTGAGCACTGCCCAGGTCGCAAGGCTGATCTGTGTATATATGATGTCCTTGAATGTGTTATAAGTGATTGTTGGGTGTGATAAGACAGTGCTTAAGATGTTCATCACATTTATCGTTCGTGGCAATAGAGCAGGCAACAGAGTCTGCATTTCTAGAAATGCACAGTTGTCTGCAAATGCTCGCATATGCTGTGAAGGTCATAATGATGGAGATTGCTGTGATATATCATGTGACACCTTGAGACTTCAGCAACCTCTTTATGTCATATGTTACTTATGCCACATAAGCAAGGCCATTCATGCAGGGTTACGTGAGTTTTTTTGCATAAAAATAGCCCTCCCAAGTTAAAAGTTTGCCTTTCCACTTTTGCGGAGAACCCCACTTACGAAGGTTGAGTTTCTTTGTAAAGAGAGAGGATGGAACAATGATTAGTTAGAGGGTGAGGCAAAGCATCAAAAGCAGATGGATGCATGAATGGAGCACTCCATGAGTTATGGCAATATTAAAGGGTCCTCTGCTTGGTATCACACTCAGAAAAAGCACACAATACAGCTAATCATCATGGGTGGAAAGACCAAAAAGGACCAACAAGCCCAGGCTGGACATGAATATCAGGAATTTGCTCCTACAGACATAGGGTGCATATGGGCCCAATATGGCTTCCGATCTCAAAATGTTCTCTGACTTCTCAGAAGAGTTCTTGTTGGGCACGGGAAACAATCACATGACGACTCAAAATCATCCTCAGTCAGCCTTCAGAGGTGTTAACTTGGTGCCAGTGACAGATGCAAATCTGAAAGCAATGCTCACGGATCTACATAAGACCGTCCAGGCAGATGTGGCCTCACTGCGTGCACACCTTACAGTTCTAGTTGGCAGGCTAGGATCAGTGGAAACCTTATCATAGATGCATGTTCTGAAAATAACATTTCTTGAGCAAGAATTCCAGACCCTCAAAAATCAGCAAACAGTCTAGAAGTACCTGAGAGATGAAGACATGAGGTGCCGCAATAACCTGAAGATCAGAGGTATACCAAAAGAATGTCAACTTCAACGGAATTTTCAGAATCCCTAAACCATAGAGGGCCCCAGACACAGCGCCCAGACACCTGGTGGTACATATTTAAATTAATAGAGATAAAGTAGCTATGAAGGCTGCTATGAAGGGGACATCTGCTTGCAGCAATCTGGGCCACAAAGGGCCTCTAGATCCACACACAAGTCAAACCATTCGTCCCTCAATGGGCCTTCTCCGACACACTGCAACCATGACCTGAGGCTTCATACCATTTAAATGGCCCAACATTTCATCACTGATCAGAACTGGATATAGTTAGAAGTTTCTTTTTATTTTATTGTAAATCTTTTTTGGAAGCTATTTGATTTCTTTATTTGCACTTGACATGGTGCACCGCTCGTTTAAAGGATTTGGCAGGCTCTGATGAGTATTGTTGGAGATGCCAACTTGAGCTGGGCAGTCAACTTCAAATCTGGTGGGCATGTGGCTGCCTTCATAAATTTAAAGCTACACTCAAAAATTTGCTCAGGAACTTATTCGTACTTAGTTAGTTCATAAATAACCCCACAAACATTTCTTCTCCAACTAGATATTACAACACCTAATAAACACCAGACCTTCCTGCTTATTAACATCTTGCTCACATTTAAAATGTGTCTGGCCAGATGCTGGAAGCAGAAAGATCTTCCTTTGTGGCTAGAGATTAAAGCCCAAATTAAATTCCAGTCCAATTCCAAAAAATACTTTTGTAACGACGATGAGTCAAGAATTAACCTATATAATAAAATCTGGCATCCATAGCTGACTCTCACTTCTAAGATCTGTCTCCCCCCTCTGGTGTGTCTCCCTCTCCACCCTGAGGAGTTGTGAGTACCTACCTATTAAGGTTTTTTAGCTAATGATTAGCATTCTGTCCACTTACCCTGTGTCATAACATAGTTCTATGTAACCTGTCTGTACCCCCTGCCACCAACCACTTTATGCTGGTTTGAGTGTGTATGTATAATGAAAGCTTGCGGCTGTATTTTTTTTTCCTTCCTTTCCTCTTTTTCTCTCTTTCTTTTTTTAATCTCTTTCCTCATGGTATTATGAAACTCTTGCTTGTAACATTCTTAGCATTAACAATACAGTCTATTCCGATTTATTAATATGAAAGTTAATACATGATTATCATTCTTTCCTGATCATCGGTGTCATCTATGATTAATCTGTAATTATATAGAGTCAGGTAATATGTATATTCTGTCTATTTTTATATGTATCTTTTTTTTTTTTCCTCTCTTTTATAAAATATAATAAAGATTTATAAATATATATATATCGGACAGCCAGCGGACTGAAAAACCCGGAAGTGAAAAAAACCACATGGGAAGCATGGAAGTGAAAAAAAACACATGGGACGTACGGTCCCATGTGGTTTTTTTCACTTCCGGGTTTTTCAGTCTGCTGGCTGTCCGATCACTTTATTGGTAAGCACACTTTTCACTTTATGTATATATTGCTACTGTTTGTACCTGTCACTGTGATCTTGCTAAAGACCCCAGGAGGGTCGAAACGTCGATTTTTTATTTTTTATTTTTTTTTGTTATTCACAGCTCACGAATTTTTGATAATACATTAAATAACTTTGTTTCACTGAATTGAAGACCTAGTGTTCTCCCTTTATCTGCTTTTTATTATATATATAACGCGGGATTTGCACCTAGGCATCTATTTTTACTTTTATTATTTTGTAAAGGAGGAGTGCCCTGCTACTTTATTTGTTGGGGATATATATATATATATATATATATATATATATATATATATATACTCTCACCTCACAGAATCACCCATCATTGTACAGTGCGATTCAATGTATATTTCTGTATTATGGTAATTTTTCTATATCAGTATGTATTTTCAACCTTGCCTTGTATTTGTGAGTTGAGTACAAGTAAAGAATTTAAAAAAACAAAACAAAAAAACTATGATTATAAACTAAAGCCTGAATGGTCACATACTAAATAGAGCAAATCCATTTAGTTGCATATGGGATTATTTGTACTACAAAGTCAACACATTTTTTCACACTAATGTCTAAATTGTGCTGTTCTTGCTCAGAACAAGTGAGAATTGCGTTCAGAATTGATCTGCACCTATTTCTAGGTAGGTGGACCACTGTGTTCTGGCACTGTTACTATCGTGGTGAGCATTACCTTTTTCACAGTAGCACTTCTCTGTGATCAGAACAAATGTGCACTTACCACATGCATCAATGAGCCTTTGTGCCCCTGATGCTGGTTCACCAGTTGTCCATTCTTACACCACTTTTGTTAGGTACTAACCACTGCATACCGGTAACACCCACAAGACTTGCTGGTTTGGAGATGCTCTGACCCAGTCGTCTAGCTTTCACTATTTGGACCTTGTCAAAGTCACTCAGAACTTTTCACTTACCCATTTTTTCTGCTTCTTAAACATGAGATTCATAAATTGACTGTTCACTTACTGCCCAATATATCCCACCTCTGACAGGTGCCATTGTAACAATATAATCAATGTTATTCACTTCACCTGTTAGTGGTTTTAATGTTGTAGCTCAAGCATGTCAAACTCAAAGGCTAGCACGGGCCACATAAACAAGGTTTAAGTTTATGTGGGCCGCAAAAACAACAAAACCTTTAATTTTCATAGAAATGTAGGTTTGTTTTGTAAAGTACAGTACAAAAAAAAACAGCATCCCCCTCTACTAAACACCATGCCCCCCTCTGTACTAAATCCCAGTCCTGCCTCTGTACTAAATCCCAGACCCCCCTCTGTACTAATTCACAGTCCCCCCTATACTAAATTCCAGTGCCCCCTCTATACTAAATCCCAGCAGCCCCCTTTACTAAACCCCATCCATTGTTTTAAAAAAAAGATAAAACAATATTAGCCAACAAGCAGACTCCTCTCACATTGCTGCTGCCAGTATGCGACTCCGGAG